TGTGACCAAAAATTACTATCTCGAGCTCCTCCGTGCTTCGGAAGGCACGTTAAGCCGTTGGTCCCGGCTGCATATGCAATCGTTAGCACCCACCAATCTGCACTGGGCCCGAGTGATGTGTCCTGGCCCAATCTCCCTATTCAATTAATAGGGAAGGCCTGTGCCCCAGCACTGGAGACATTAATAGGCTGATGATGATGATGATGATGATGAGAAAGACTTTACGGATTTTGACCATTCTTTTTTTTTAAGTTTTCTTAGGCTTTGTAGAAGGTTCAGACAGGAAAGAAATAAGTGGCGCAGAAAATTAGAAAAATTAAGAAAACGGAACTGGCAGAACTACCCGATAGGAGGCACTGCAGTCGAGATTTAAGTTTTTTTTTTGTATTTTCGTAGGGTAGAACAAGGTCTGTCGGGTTCGCTAGTAATAAGTGCATTCCGAACAATTCTCATTATTTAGTTTAAGTTAAGTTCAGGTGAGTTGGTATAGGCAAGACTATGATGTAAGATAGCTTTTTTCTATATAAAACCCACTTTACCTGTTAATAATTGTAAAAAAAAGAGCTCGATGATAGAAACCAATGCGTTAGGCATGCGATCATAGAAGTTAAGCAACTTTTATAATGGCCGGTCACAGAGTCAACAAATATTTATTAACGACACGCAAATCAGTAGGTCGTGACGAACCAATATCGAATTCAAATCAATAGTTGAATTCGATCTCGATACGCGTCAAATGTCAAGAAGTTTTGTATGAAAATTTTAACAGTGCCATAACGGACGTAATGAGATTAAAAGTCTTCCTTACAAAACTTCTTGACATTTGACGCATATCGAGATCGAATTCGATATTAGTTCGTGCCAAGGGTACTGTAGTCATGAGCATCCGCATGGAGCCCACTTGCTGAATCATTAGTCCAAATATATATTTTTAGGGATAATAATATGCTTATGATGATGATGAGTACCGATAGAAAGATAGTTGATACAGTAGAATAAAATTGCCACCATCCCAATCAAAAAAATATAATTGACGAACCATTAAAGTTTTGGGAATATGTTAAAGATAAGAAAAAAGACAGACGATTTATAGACTCATTTACACATAATGGGGAGGTATTTTCTGGTCAAGAGGCTGTTGAAGCGTTTGCTCGGTATTTTGGTACAGTGTTTCTGGATGAAATGCCACGTTTAGATACAGACGAAGCTGCACGAAAAGCTCGACCAATAGCCGGTGCGAAGTTAATATCTATCTCGACCATAGATAAAGAAGACCTAGATAAAGCCGTAAAGCGCCTTAAGTCTCGATCATCAGGTGGACCTGATGGTATCCCGATATTCCTGGTCAAAGATTGCATTTCAATCTTCAGAATCCCGTTGTTGTATATGTACAATCTCTCACTAAGTCAGGCTAAATATCCAGATTTATGGAAGCTGTCTAGGGTGACACCAATTCTAAAAGGGGAACCCGGTTCTAATATTGCAGCCTATAGACCAATAGCCGTACTATCCGTTTTTGCCAAACTATTCGAGGCAATAATTAATCATCATATAAGTCGGCAGATAGGTGATCAATTACACGAGTGTCAGCACGGCTTTCGAAAAGGGCGATCGACTACCACTAATTTGATACCCCTGGTAGATTACGTCTCTGCGGAAATGGACGCTGGGCGGCAAGTTGATGCGGCCTATTTTGACTACAAAAAAGCTTTTGACCTTGTAGATAATGATAAATTATTAATAAAGCTTTCGGAAATAGGTTTTACTCCCTCACTACTGCATTTTTTTGCAAGCTACCTCAAAGATAGATGTCAGTATGTTAGGTTGAATGGATACGAATCTAACCACTTCTTTACGAGATCTGGGGTGAGTCAAGGTAGCACGTTAGGACCTACCCTCTTTCAAATCATGATAAATGACTTGCCTAAAGTATTGTCATGCACAAAATGTTTGTTATTTGCTGACGATTTAAAAATATATAGGTGTATAAGTAATAAAGGGGATTCGGAGCCATGCAGAGTGATATTGACGCTGTAGTAGCGTGGAGTGATTCGAATCGGTTGACATTCAATAGCAACAAATGCAAGACAATAACTTTTACGCGGAAGCGGTCCTGTATTGAAAGTATTTATAAAATATATGACGCTCCTTTGGAAAGAATTGACAAAATTAGAGACTTAGGCTTAACTTTAGATACTAAGATGGACTTTCACCAACACGTGATAAACGTATGCAAATCGGCGAGTAGGATCCTGGGATTCATTATCAGAACTTCCTCCGAATTTAGTAGTTCTTTAGTGGCTAGAGTATTGTACAATGCCTACGTACGTAGTAAATTGGAATATGGGGCAGTAATTTGGGACACCCACGAAAAAAAATATTGCCTCATGATAGAAAAGATACAACGAAAATTTGCTCGATGGTTGTACAAGAAAAACTATGGATATTATCCGTTCTTGTATCCATCAACTTTTGTCTACGGTATGGTCGACCTAGAAGCACTGGATATGAGAAGGAAATTGCTCCTCATTGTACACTATTTATCAATTATTTACCAAAAGATAGATTCGCCACACGTGCTAGAAAGAGTACGCCTTTTGGTACCCACTCGCATCCCGCGTGATGCCGAGGGTTTATTGGAGCCGCGCCGGCGGCCGCGCTTGCTGGAGTGGCCTGGCACCCGAACCGTCCACGCTGCCCAAGCGCCCACAGTACGTGCATTGCGCCTGATCGGGGACATGCTCGCTCAATACGATCACTTAGACCTGTTTGCTGACGGTCTAGGGAGATTAATTACCATGACTCGCCAGATTTTAGATTCTGGGTTTTAATCTGTAATTTGACATTGGACAGTGTATTTCCTAGTTTATTTTAATTTGTAATTTATTTATTGTTTTCACGTTTTTAATTATATCTTTTGACATTTTTGATTCATACTTTGATGTATGTTTATTTTTAATTTTGACTTTTTAATTGTAATTCCACTTATGACTATTTCTATATAATGAATGTTTTTGTTTTGCATTGCATTGACTTGTTGGTGTGTTGGACTAGCTCTGTAAACCAGCATGTGAAACTGAATAAATAAATAAATAAAAAGAAATACAATACCACCAAAGTATTATTTCATTTAGGTCTTTCTTAAGGTGAAGGTTACTTAGGGCATTCTTGCTATCCTACAAAGCCATTCGCATTGTCTTTATCTACTAAACAAAGTTACCATTCCTGATGGAAAAAATATTTTCGAATCAAGAACAAATAGATAATGACGGGGAAATGTAAGCGAAATTCTATTTAGTAAGATTAACAGGAAAATACTGGACACTTATTATTTCTTTTGTCAATCAACCAAAAAATTATAAAGATAAAGCACGTCAAAGTTTGAGAGTTGGGGCTCGTGATGTCACTTAAGTAAAAATTGTACCAAGACGTAACGTCATCCGACTTTTCAAATCAATATAGGTACATCTGTAATGTTTTGATTTATTATAATGAAAAAAGAAAAAAAAATCGTGTCCCTATTCATGAAAGTATCCTCATCGCTCAAAACCTTTTTTCTGCGTACAAGGTGTTGAATTCTCAAAAATCAACGTTTTAAATCGCATCCTCATGGCAAATTAGTTCAGTCACAAGACCCGGCTGAGCCGAAATGACTGAGCATTGTGCGTCCATTCTCGCCGGTGGAATAATAGCGGGGATATCCGTTTAGGTGCCTATTATTTAAACACCAATGAATACACCATGGCTATTGTGGAACAAGTAATTACCGGGTTTTGTTCTTTGAAAGGCCGCTTTAATTTTCATTATACCTATTTCACTTGTGAGTTTTATGCATTTTTATAAAAGAAAATCTTATTGAGCTTTAGAATATGTAGGCACATAAAGGTCAAGCCTGTTTCCTGTGAGGGAGGAATCTATTATTATCGCTAAGGAAGGGGCAGCACTAATTTTAATCCAACTTAAAAGTTAAGTAACATCCTCTGAGTTTTACCAAAACTTTAAATCTTTTTTCTCGTAGTTCATGAACTACGGAGTGTCTACGAGCTACGATGCTACGCTATACGGTTGTAAGTTGGTTCATCAAACTTTACCATATTAAACATATATTATAAAGTGTGTTTTTTATAGGTGCTAAACTGGAATATTCATTTATATAACTCATTTATATTATCCTATATGGTACAAACAGTGAATGTCATCACTTTTATTTGTTTTTATTTCATACATTTTATTTTACAGACACTTAATACACATCGGAGGACAAAAAATTTGCTTATAAAATATTTCACGTGTCGTAATGAATACAATACTTATGCACTTCCAAGTGTAAAAAGTAATAAAAGCGCTCTATAATTTAATTTAAATATTTACACGAAAATTAAAATTATTCGTCCGACAAATTTTGTAATTTTCGTGACTGAAATTAAGAAATAAAAGTTATTACCAGCAATCACTAATTTAGCAAATATAATTTGTTTTATTCTTTTCAATAGGGTTGGTAAATTACTTATTTTTTCTTCGTCTATGAGCTTATCAAAAAGTATTGGACAAGTATATTTTTTTTTTTGGTGCATAAGGCATAAGGAAATGGTGCAGCACGCACCACTGATATATATGAATATATTGCCGCGTGTGCGAGCGTCACAGCGGTCGTAGTGTTTCAGCCTTCGCCGAGTTACCCTCCAACTATTGTGCTCGTACTCAGAATAATATTAATTTAAGTTTTCCTAGTAATATAACGACGGCCGCACTTAGAGACGTCAATAGATGTTTCAATTTGATTTAAGTTGAGACTGTCACATTCTTTATGATAAGACAACATCCCAATTTGACAATTATTTTATTCAACTAATGACTCTATTTGATAAATAATAAAATTTTACTGTAGTTCATTTCACGTCATATACATAGTAAATGTGTAAAATTTTGACATATACGAGTAGTTATTAAGTATAATACACATTAATAATCAAAACAGTATTTCTTTAACTCCAATGCACATGGTTCGAGCGAATATCGATGTTGGTGATCCTGCTGAACTGCGTCACCCTCGGTATGTACCAACCCTGCGTGGACGACCAATGCGTCACCAACAGATGCAAAATATTACAGGTGAGTCAATCACCCTAGTGTGATAATAGTATCACATGAGTGTTTTAATACATCATTATAAACAGTTGTATACAAAACTTTATCTACACCCATGACATGAATCCTCTATAAAAGATACTCAAACCATGGGGCGTTTTGAGAACCTAAAATACATAAAATGGTTCGAGGCTGTAGTAGTGAAAAGCGCGTGAATGACAATGTTCTTTTTGAAGGAAGGGATTTAAAAAGCGAAATAGTATTATTATGAAATTTAGTACAACATATTATAATAGTATCTATAGTAGAAGTTTTAAAGCATGGGTGTAGATAAAGTCATACAGCCTTTTCCCATAGGCGCATTATTATCGGTCGATATATCGGATGCGTTATCGAAGTTACACTTTGCTGCAATAATAATGACGTATTAAGAAGTTTACATGACACAAAATAAAAAATAGTAGATTTTATATTGGGCTGTACCCATATTTTTTTTTTCTTTGCCTACCTTTAAAGAAGAATTTAAACAGTAACCGCCTTTTTACAAAAAGTTGACAACAGTGCGACCGAACTTTTTGGCGGGATCGGGAAGCGTCAATTTAGCAGTTTTGTTTTTCTTGTTAAAAATTGTGTTGTGACGGATGTTAGTGTCTAATAATGGTGGATTATTAACCACTAAGTGTTCGGGAACTTGCACAAGTGTTGGTAAGTGAAACAAAATAGCGGAAAGTGTCTTTCGACGTGACCTCAAGAGGTCCACGGGGAGGTTCCCGTAAATCCTTACACTTTTACTGAAACATAGGGAAAGGGGGATTGACTTGACTGCTACTTACTTTGACTTGATTTATTACTTTGACCACGAGTGCTATAGTATTTGTAAACATTTTAACACTTGGCATTGGCTAAATGCAGAAGCCGAGCGAAGCCATTTAGAAAAAAAAACAGTGCGACCAAGATCTTTATGAATGTGAGTGACATTTCAGGGAGGTCGCCACTGTCTATGTAAATGACATACAAAATATGACATTTACAAAGATTGCGGTGTAAGTTGCAATTTTCGCCAAATTCATTAAGATCTTGGTCGCACTTTGTAAATCCTAGTTTAAAACTGATTCTATCACTTTTGCTTGCTAAAAAGAAGACAGAGACAACATAAGATTTAAACTAAGACTTTAATCGCCTAGTTTAAGAATGAAACGGCACGAATTCATTTACTATAATTTTAATTATTACAAATCTCACACCACATAAGTCAATACACAAAAATATTACAAATCTAAATTACAGCCAATAAAACCTTTTTTAATATCTCACAAAAAGTTCCGAATTCAAATTGACCAACTAATCTGTATGCTGATTTTCGTTTGTTTGATGCCGTAAGTAAATTAGGTTCGCAATGAAATAAAAAAGGACATTTTTAAAAACTTTATTAGATTATAAACTTCTGTCATGGGTAATAAAAATAAGTTGAACCAGTTTTTGTCTGTAAACCGAATCGCATAAATAAATAAAATTAGCTTTATACCGCCGTTCGTGTTTTTCAATTTTCCCAAAGGTTGACTGGGAGAGAATGTTTTTAGCATTAAGTCCGCCTTTTATACGATTATTATATATTTTGGTCAATAAAGTTTAAATAAATAAATAAAATGGTGGTGAAAATTAGAACTACATCTTGCGTCTTTTTTCTTTTTAGTATTAAAGCGAGACATATGTATATAGACTAAAAACGCCACCAAGGAGATTCGATCGAAATTTAAAAAAAAAAACCTAAAGAATACGCAGGGTGCCGTGTAGAAGCGTGTGTAATGAATTTTTCATCCCACCACCTCGGAAAGTGTAATTTTGCGCTTCGAAATCTGGCTGGAAAATTCTATTTTATTCGCTTGAGCGGCAAAGTAGATTTGAATTTAGAACATCACATATAATGAGTACTCAATATAATTGTAAATTCAAAACGTCATTAAACCTATTTAATGTAACCTCTATGGTGCCAAATTTATGATTAGAACTTTTTAAATTGTGAAAAAATTTAAATTTGGAACCTTCTTGGTTTCTTTGTTTTATTTGCGTGCTTCGCGCCATTCTAGTTTTTCACGTTTTATTGCTTAATATAATTAACATAACCTAAAAACTGTACAAAAAAATCAACTAAAATGAGTGACATTAGCGACGATGAAGTTTATCTAACGCCAACTGAGTTAACTGAAACAGTTAATAATGCGCAAATGAGCCTTCTCCCTCAGCAATCACGAGAGAAGTATTTGAAACAGTACGATATATTTAACATGTGGCGACTAGCTAAAGGAGCAAAAACTTTCTCCGAAAACGTTTTGCTGGCATATTTTATAGAATTATCTGAGACCAAGAAAGCAAGCACGCTATGGAGTACGTATTCAATGCTAAAATTAACAATTAAGATGAAGAAAGACGTTCATATCGACACCTATCATAAATTAGTGGCATTTTTAAAAAGAGCCTCATCTGGTTATAAACCAAAAAAATCGAAGGTTTTCACAGCATCTGAAATTGCAAAGTTTATTAATAAAGCACCTGATTCCGTATATTTAGCGGCAAAAGTAAGTCAATACGTGTAATTTTTTGTTGTTGATAAAATTGTACATAGTACTTACAATATTTTTAATTTGATTAATTTATTTACGATTATAAATACTTCTTTTGTTACAGGTTGTTCTTATTATTGGTATAACCGGAGCATGTCGAACAAATGAACTTACACTACTTAATGTCAATAACGTATCAAAATATTCTCATAATTCTGATGAATTGCTATTAATTAATGTACTAAATACCAAGACAAAAAAAGACCGCAACTTCGTTATTCGCAAGGAATATGTAAACATTGTTCAGAAATATCAAGCTTTACGTCCTTCTAACACCCCAATTGAACGATTTTTTCTACAATATCGCAACGGAAAGTGTATCCGACAACCTATGGGTCAGAATAAAATTGGCAGTATTCCACGAGAAATAGCAACTTTTCTCGGACTTTTAGAACCCCCGTTATACACCGGTCACTGTTTTAGAAGAACCTCAGCCACACTTTTGGCCGAATCAGGGGCTGATCTTCTATCGCTTAAGCGCCATGGAGGCTGGAAGTCTAATTCGGTTGTAGAGGGATACATAGAGGATTCAATCCAAAGTAAATCAAAAATTTGTAATAGTATCGTGGAGGCCATAACGCTGAAAGAACCTCTGTCAGATTCTTGGTCTCGCCCTTCTACATCTAAAATGAGCCCCCATAAGATTGGAAACAATAGCCCTCTCTCGCCAACATTTACGCCAATAGAATCCAATGAATCGGCACAACTATTTAAAATTACTGATACGAGTAGTTTACCACAAAACAGCGCACAATTCACAAACACCAACATAACATTACCTAACAAAAATATTAAACTTAACATAAGTAACTGTAGCAACGTTACATTTAATATTTCTTAATTATTTTCTACTTCTTATTATTTTCTTCAATTTATAGATTATCTTAATGTGTTTTAATTGAAATAAAAATATTTTGTCATTATAAATTGTTTTCTTTTTCATTTTGTCATTTCCTCGCTGAGGTGGGATGAAAAGTTACGTATTGCACTCGAGTGGAAAGATTTTTCACCTTGTGCTCGTTTGTTTCCCTCGCTGACGCTCAGGATTCTAATTTAGAATCACTCGCTGCGCTCGTGATTCAACTTTAGAATCCTTCGCTTGCTCGGTCATCCAAATCGAGCACGCGGTTAAAAAGGAACTTTCCACTCTTGTATAATAAATAACTATTACCGTACGCTCCGCTGTTAGTCTTAGGCCCACAAATAATCCGACTGCTTAGTGGACTGAGTGGACTGTGCAGTAACAACAAAATTCTTAATTTTTGTGGCAAAGTTTACAATGTTGGTGTGATACGATAGAGGTAACGGTGATAATCTCTTGATTTGTGTTACATTTTATTCATGGCAGCTTCAGGCTGGCCGAATCGTATTTCAAGAGTCTCCATGATATTACTTAGGTTGGCCTTACCAATTAATAGCTAGGCTACAGCATCTTTTGCTTCTTCTTGCAAGCACTTACGAAGGCGCTGAACGTTCTCTGCATCGCTGAATTTGCATAGCCTGGTAGTCTCGTAGTAACTCTCTGAAATGCAACCATTCGATTGGGTCACCAAAGTAAGGTGGCAGGTCTTTGGACGCGGCTATCCTCGAAAGAAGTTGCTGATTGTGCTCATTGTGTATCACAGTAGCGGAGGTCTGTATGGCAGATGTCAGGGCGGCAGCGAGTCTATCAATATCCGTACTGGTACTAATGTGATGTTATGGTTGCAGCGGCATGTCGTGCGCAGGTGGTAACTCCTGCTTCACCTGGTAACCAGTGATCGAGTATCGATCCAGTTCTCGATCTGCGAAAGAAAAAGCGAAGGTGAAGCACAATGAGCACAATCAGCAACTTCTTTCGAGGATAGCCGCGTCCAAAGACCTGCCACCTTACTTTGGTGACCCAATCGAATGGTTGCATTTCAGAGAGTTACTACGAGACTACCAGGCTATGTAAATTCAGCGATGCAGAGAACATTCAGCGCCTTCGTAAGTGCTTGCAAGAAGAAGCAAAAGATGCTGTAGCCTGGCTATTAATTGGTAAGGCCAACCTAAGTAATATCATGGAGACTCTTGAAATACGATTCGGCCAGCCTGAAGCTGCCATGAATAAAATTGTAACACAAATCAAGAGATTATCACCGTTACCTCTATCGTATCACACCAACATTGTCAACTTTGCCACAAAAATTAAGAATTTTGTTGTTACTGCACAGTCTATTAAGCAGTCGGATTATTTGCGAAGTCCTGTGAATACAGTGCTATCAAAATTACCCAGCAGTCTAATTAATCGCTGGTCTGACTATGTTTTTGAGCAAATTCAAAACGATAAGTCAAAGTTCGTCAAGAGTTTCTCATATACACAGTTATACAGACATACAAAAGAAGAGACCAGAGGAGAGTCTAATTCAACCACATCGTGTA